TACGTTTTCAAATTGTTGCCAACAAATATTAGAGCCCTGCATTATATTTAAAGGAATTAAATAATAAAGAATCTGCATAAATGTATGTTTCTGTCATTGTAATAAAACAGCGGTACCTAGAGCTATCATATTTGGAATAACATATGTCTCCTCCCAAATATGGGCATCTGGAAGGCCCAATTTGGAATTTGTTGTATTATCTATTTTATATTTTGTCAAAAAGAATTTTTTATTAACAAACTCATCGATTTCAAAGTGAACAATGGTAACACTGTACGGGGGGGGTAGAAAAAATTATCTCCAAGCCATGAGACTGTGTATCGAAAATTCTAAAGATATGCTTTTTTAAATAATTTGTGACATTGCTGTTGAATTGAATTTTATGGTTTAAGTGCGAAGAACTTGATATTTAACAAGTAAAAGTAACAAGCAAAACGTTAAAAAACGCCCCTTTGGCTGTAATACAAAATCTGAAAGCTTTCAGTTCAGTTTTTTTTTAAATTTAATTTCAGTTTTTTCTTTGAGTTTATGAATTGCTCGCATAAATGCGGATTTTAGGCGAAATCGCCTAAAGAGGTCAGTGGACCGTGGGGACCAGGATCCTTTCAGAAGAGACCCACTAGTAGCCAAGCGGTAAAGTCGCTGAACACTGGTTGTTCGGTTCTGTGAACGGACTGGTTTCATAGGCGTTTTCAAGGTGTTTTTCTATGTGTAACGTGCATATGAGCCAGTTTCCCTTAGAAAGCCCTCCACGAAGGGATTCATCCCCTTAGGCAGATAGCCATTGAATGCATTCCCGTAATTAAATAAACCAAACCAACCTTTCAAAAAGAGATGATCAGCAAAATATTGTGAAAAACGACATTGTCTCATCAGACTTATGTCAAGTTGCTTAATCCTTCTGAAACCAACAGAAGCGCTTGTCCTTCTGTATGTAATAAACTACTGGGTTATGTTATTTAATGCGTGTTCTTGGGGAAAAAAAGGAAAATAAAAATAAATAAAAATAAAAGACCCGCTGTCTGGAAGAATGTAGAGGTCTGTCTTGAAACGCATGCGAATTTTCTGTGTTTCGTCTTCGTGTGGTTTGGCTTTTGACATAACTGCTTATATGAAACGAAGCTGCATTCGTAAAAAACAAAGAATATAGTTTTTCTGTTCCATTGGTGTAAATAAACAATGACGCACAACTGCTTGAGCTGCTCAATCGCTTTCAGTTTTTTTTGAACAACACGAACACAATTAAGATGAATGTTCAGCTTTTTCAGTGCCTTTTATGCACTCCCATATAACTTTTATCGTTGTTTCAGTTTTCTCACATTCTTTTTTGGTGACTGCAACATTTTACTCCTGACTTCCATTTTGTCGTTCCTAGCTATTTTACTCCTGACTTTCATTCATTTATTTTATCCGAACTCTGAAGAGATTCCACTTCTTTCTCATGATGAACGCTTCCGTTTTCTCGAAATCAGTTTACCTAGTGGAAAATCGTTGTCTTCTTAGGCTCACAAACATTTGAGAAGACCTGTTTAAACGTTTCTCCAAATTTTCCGTAAGAATACGTTGCAAAGTAATAAAAATTCATTCTATTTGAGAAAAACTCATCTCTGTCTAACATCAACAAAAAGTCTTAAAGCTTATAGAGTTTTACTTGCTTTGGGAGCATAAACTAGATCCAAACAAAGCATAAACTAGAATAGAGGTAGAGCGAATTACCTCTGTGTGTGATGTAACAAGAGAGATCTTGAAAAGGTGTAGAGAGACATTAGGTATTTTTTTGGAGCAAGAGAAAGTGAAAAATGAGCAACGCCTTCGCTGGGAATCGAACCACGGACCTCTAAAATGCGTGTGCAGCGTATATACCACCACATCACGAACGCATGCCAAGAAGGCGGGAGAAATACTTTATATACTCCCCCTTTTAAAGGGTGAATGGGGGTTTTTAGGGGACCCAGTCGCCAACTCCCGGGTGTGGAGAATCATCATCCGCCGCCCTTTTAGTTCGGGCACCAACCACTTCAGAGACATTAGGATTTTTTGAGAAGCAGGAGATGTGAACAATTAGCACCGCCTTTGCCGGGAATCGAACCACGGACCTCTGGAATACGCGCCCAGCGTGCAGACCACCACACCATGAAGGCATGCCAAGAAGGAGTGAGAAATACCTTATGAAGGTTTAAACATACATTTTTATTAAAACAGAACTTGAACATAAATGCACTTCTTGTGCTATCAAATTCATTCGCCATTTTCGTCGATGAAACTAATGTAACAGTCAAATTCAAGTAGACTAGTAGTCAAAGACTAACATTTAAATTTAAATCGAAGTTGGCTTAAAACTCTAATCGATGTAACAATTGAAATGTTCGTAGCAAAAATTGAAAAGCCAAATAATTAAAAATTTTTCTGAGATGGCACAACTGCAGGAACGGAGCCTCGAGAGGCAGAAACACGCTGTATCTCACAATCCAAAATTCTGAGCTTAACTACTATATAACTGATTTACATTCTGATGAGAAAACGGAAAAGAGAAGTTATAGTAAAGGCTGAAATTATAAATAACTTATTAGTTTCAAATAATAATTCTACAAGCTAGCAATATAAATTGTAATTGAAATTTCAGGTGACGCGCAAACTTGTAATGCTACATGGGTGTCATTCATTGAAACAGTGTGCAAGTACGAGCCATTTCCCTTTAGAAAATATTCCACGAAAGCATCCCTCCCTGTAAGCAGATATCTTTTCTGTGCTGTGACATATCCCAGTAACCGGATAACCACTGAAATTATTTTCCTTGAAATTTCTGGAATTTTTTAGTCTTGTTGCCCGAACTTTCGATCATCCATATTAAGAACTGTCCTTTCTACTTAATATTAAACAGATTTTCAAGTAGTGTAGTAATAATCTTTTTTGACATTTATCTACTAGCCTTTAGATTTGATCTGTTTGCGTGAGAATGTTTGGTCAGCATAAGTTGATACTCCAGCATATATTGTTATAATATGGAATGTTGTTCGCTTTAATTTTGTGCCCCCACCCTATATGTGTACTCGTATTATGAATAACCAGTATATTTTGTGGATTACCTACGTTTCAATAGCTCTATGATTATATTGCAAGAATACAGCACGTCTTTTTATGTTTCATTTAATGTGATTAATTTTTAAATGACAAGCAGGTGCCATTTCTTTCTAGAATACTGAGTGCAGTTGACAGTTTTTGATTTGTCAAAGATAGAAAATATGAGAAAACTGATTATGCGTGTCTATTTGAGCAAAATCATTAAATTATTATGTTATTTCGACTTCGTTTTCGAGAGAAGAGAATATTTTTAACTTTATGTAAAAAGCTGTACTAAATAAAAATATATACCTTGTTTATATAAAGCCTAAAATTTTGTGCAGATATTCCATAGTGCTGTACTTACAGAATCATGAGAAGGATGCTATCCCCTTTATGATTCTGTACGTACTGTATAAGATATTTCTCCCGCCGTCTTAGCGTGCTTTCGTGGTATGGTGGTCTGCACGCTTGACGCGTATTCCAGAGGTCCGTGGTTCGATTCCCGGCAAAGGCGTTGCTCATTTTTCATCTTTCATGCTTCCAATAATTCCTAATGTCTCTACAGTGGCGCCCGAACTAAAAGGGTGGTGGATGACGATTCTCCACACCCAAGATTTGACGATTGGGTACCCTAAAACCTCAGTTTCCCTTTAAAAAGGGGGAGTATATAAGATATTTCTCCCGCCTTCTTAGCGTGCTTCCGTTGTGTAGTGGTCTGCATGCTGGGCACGTATTCCAGAGGTCCGTGGTTCGATTCCTGGCGAAGGCATTGCTCATTTTTCATCTCTCCTGCTTCCAAAAAATACCAAATGTCTCTACAGTGGCGCCCGAACTAAAAAAGGTGGTGGGTGACGATTCTCCGCCACAAGGATTTAGCGATTGGGTCCCCTAATCCCCAGTCGCTCTTTAAAAGGGGGAGTAAATTTATTTCTCCCGCCTTCTTAGCGTGCCTTCATGGGTGTAGTTGTCTGCGCGCTTGGCGCGTATTCCAGATGTCCGTGGTTCAATTCCCGGCGAAGGCGTTGCTCATTTTTCAAGTCCCTTGCTTCCAAATAACCTAATAGGCTCTACAACTGTAATGTTTCCAGTGTTTATGCTTCAAGCGGTATTTAGTCTGTATGAAAAAATTCCCCTTGGGAAATTTATTCGCACGTACTACAGTGGTTTTATTACATATGTGTTTTTAGGCCTTTTTCTTGCTGTATATCTTAAAATGGTGTAAAAAACTTTTATATCAGCAATTCTTTGTAAGTCTTTAGTACGGTTTAAGTATTTCTATACAGATTATTTAAGTAAATTATTTTTAAGTAAGGTCCATTTGTGAATATTGTTTGAAATTTCGCGGAAGTGAGCGCTGGCTCTTGGCATTCTTTGCGAAGAATCTCGCATCACATTCACGACGTCTATCTATATGTTTCGTAGTGCGAAATTTAAATGTTTTTAGAAAATCAGACTACCTGCCACTGTAAAATAAGGTTAGACATATTGTTCTTAACAACAGGAAACTTGAAGGTTTATCGCTAAATATATGTATGGTGACGATGCAGTGATTAAAATGCGAAAATGGGTGAGCTTGTTCAGTAACAGTTCGAACATTCACTGAGAAGTTAAAACAACCATGAATAACTACACTAGCTATCATCACAGGTGGCAGAGTTCTTTGAGGAAGGTATGCAAGACTCGTTACGGTAAAAGTTTAAACGAACAAGTTAATTGTGTAGGAAAATAGAAAATTATATGTAAATTCACAAAATAAACTGTTTAATTTTTTTATTTATTTTGTTTTTTTATTTTAAAATGGACCTTACCATAAAAATAGCCCTTGTAAGAAGATTGCATTTGATTTTATTCTCTTCTTGAAAGGATTTTATATTATGTTCTTTTATTTTGTTACAGTTTGCAGAAATGTGGATATACGGAACAATGTGAGTAATTTTCAGAAACTTGAAAACTGCACTGTCATCGAAGGATATCTCCAAATTCTTCTTATTGACAAGGGAAGGACAGAGGATTATGATGGGCTTTCATTTCCGGACTTGGTTGAAATCACTGGTTATTTGCTTCTATACCGGGCATTTGGGATGAATTCGATCGGCAAGATCTTTCCAAATTTGGCTGTTATCAGAGGTAATAGTCTTTTTCATAACTATGCATTTGTCGTCAATGAGATGTACCAACTCCAAGAGATTGGACTTAGCCGATTGACAGACATTCTTCGAGGTTCTGTTCGAATTGAAAAAAATCCTGGCTTATGTTACGTGGATACAGTCGATTGGGATCTCATAGCTAAAGAGGGAAAAGGAGGCCATTATATCTCAGGAAACAAAAAGTGGGAGGAATGTCCCAATACCTGTCCTGATCATGATTTGTGCCCAAAAACAGTTCGGAATGATGCAAAAAGCATTAGCTTGTGCTGGAATTCTCATAATTGTCAGAAAAGTAAGTTTAAATTTATGTATTCCTATAGTGTCTTTAGTGTCATTTTTAAAAAAGTAAATATGTTCTCAATGTTATTTTCTACGCCTAATTATCTCATAAAATCATTCATAATTCCAATTTTATCGAAATGCAATGCGATATCATATTGTAAAACTAATGAAATATAGTATTAGGAAATAAAAATATAAAGTGTTCCTAGTTAAATTTTACTTCTGAAAAACTATTCAATGTGCTAAGTTGTCAGCAACATGCTAAAATTATCAAATCCCAATCAATGCCTGTATAGAATCTCATTTAAGAGATGCTAGGCCTGTAATGTAATCTTAGTTGCACTTTGTTGATTTTCTGTTCATGAAAGACTCATTAGAATTCTTAGAATTTCCAACAGATGAAAAATTCTAAATAGTGAACATCCTGTTCAGGGCGGATTAAAACTCTTAAAAACCTTAATCACTTAAAACATTTGTGGTGCCCACTTTCCTGGTCCCTGAGTGGCGCCCCATTTACTTGATGCTTTAAAAATGTACATATTTTGTTGAATGGGTAATTCGCTTCTGGTGTTTTCCATGATGCCGATTATTCATCGACGAATTATGTCTGGGACAACCGAATGAACGAATAGGTGGCGAAAACTGATGCGAGAGAGTGAATAAACTTTTATGTTATGCGTCGTCATATACCAAATGCGTATCCAACGTCTCTTTCTTTCTCTTATCATTCCATAATAAACAGCAGTTATTTACAATCAAATTTTGGTAATACGACATACTAATTTCTGTGTGTTCTGTAAATACAGTATGTCCATAAGACAGTGTCCCAAAGCATTGTAGGGTGTTGGTTCAAGGTCACAGTTAAAGAGAAACTCAAACAGTTTTATATAAGCGTATGCTGGAGTAACGTTTTGTTGTTTTCGCGTTTGTAGCGCCACGTAAGCAAAATGGCGACTCCTGAGCGTAAAGCGTTTTGTGTTCTACAGTTTGCTAAGAATGAATCTGTAATTTCAGTTCAGTATGCTTTTCGTTTAAATATTAATCGTGATTCTCTATGTGGCAAAAACATCCACTGATGGTATAGGTAATCCGAAACGACCGAATGTGTTCGTAAAGAGAAAAAGTACGGGACAACTAAAAAATGTCTGTGGATGATGTGCACCGTATCAGACCATACCGCTTACAGTTGGTACATGTTTTAAAGATAATGTACTATAGTGTACGCTTTAACTTTGCAAGTGAACTGTTTGAGAGGGAAGATGACTTTCTTGATCGTGTGATTTTCAGTAATGAGTCAAGTGTTCATCTGAATGAGAAGGTAAAGGCCCGTAATGTCCGTATCTGAGGGTCAAAACAACCTCATGAATTTGTTGAATACCAAAAAGATTCCCCAAAATTAAACGTTTCCTACACTGTGTCCTTACATCAAGTGTACGGACCCAAATGGCTGTTTCCCCAATTAGTAGAGGGTTCACCCATGAAAAAAACTTTATTTGGCAGGATCTTTATAAAAGAACGTGTCTACGTTCCGTCACTACCGAATGATTTTCCAGAGTTGAGACACAGAATTGATCAGGCTATTGTTTCCATTACTCTGGACTAGTTAACCAAAGTGTGGGAAGAATTAGACTATAGGTTGGATGTGTGCCGTATAACTTAAGGTGCTCATACTGAACATTTGTAAGAAAAACTAGATTAGTTTCCGTTAAATTTGCTATATGATTTGTTCTAAATAGTATAAATTAAATTGTTATAGTATACTATTGAAACTGGGACATTCTTTTATGGACAACTGTATAACTATGTTTCAGTTATTATTATTTTAATCTTATGTTGTGTTCGTAATTCTAACGACCACTAGACTGGACATGTAACTATTTAAATATGTTTGAAGATTTTTGTATACAGTGTGCACTGTGGAGTATGCAGCTACTTCCTTTCTGCTCTGTTAAAAGGAATCTGTCCTCTACAAAAAGAAGAAATGTCAAAGGAGTATTTCGTTTTCTTTTTGTGAAAGATTAGTACTAAGTCTATTTTAAGCCCTTTAACGTACTAACACTCCTGTGATGCTGTCCTAGAACAGTTATTTTGACAAAAGAGTTTTTCAGTAAATATCTTATGCATATGTGAGGGTGATAATACTCTGTAAATCATTAATGTTTCCTGGCATTGAAATGAATCATTCCAAAATAACTTTTTTTGATAGTCCCCTCCCATTTCTCCGGAAGCGTGTGTTGGTACTGTTATATTCACGTAACAACTGAAGCTGAGAGTCTGACCTGGCATAAGTATTAAATTACAAATGGAGTTCGTAGTTAAATGCTTTATTATTGAAGTTTGGAAATTCCTGTTTTAGTTTCTTCCGAAATTTTGGCATTGTCATAGATATATACTTGGCTTTTAATGAACAATAATGCAAATAATAATAGCTCCTTTTCTTCTGTTGTACTGAAGTGTGAAATAATTTTTAGTCAATGAAGCCTGTTCTGGTTTTCCGAAAAATATTTGTCAAAATAAACTCTGAATTAAGTATTCTTGAATTACGTATTCTTATCTTGATGAGAAATTAATATGTATCCTTGAGAAAGTATTGAGTACTGTTGTAAAATAAAATTGTCCTAAATTCAGCCTTCACATCATGATATATATTACCGAAAGATCTTGCTTTATGAAATCGAACTTTCAACCACTACGCAACACGTTTTCCAAACTAAATCAAACTCGGAGAAGAATATGCTTCTGTATCTCTTCTGTATCATTCATGCCATGCACTGTATCACTTTTCTGTATTATTCATGTATTATGTAATCATCTGTATATTATGTATTTACAGCACCATTTGATTTATTGCTTGTTTAATCACTATTTCGTTGACTTTCTGTTCAAGGAATTTACAATTTTTTTCCCTGTACCTTACGTGCTTATTAAGTTAATTGATACAAAATTTCGGAAGTTTTGATTTGGGATTTGGTTTAAAGCCTTGCCATCCAGCTGTCTACCGCCATTCCGATCAGATGAATAAGTAGTGACCTAAATAGTATCAGGACTTTTGATGAGAATAAGTACAGGGTAGTTATAATTAAAGATACCCTATTTAGGTTTGCGTAGAGCCTGTTCTGGTATAGATACGTTACATGAACCATAGAGAAAAAAAAATCTGCAATTAAAATTAGTGGTTCAAATTTCGACCGCTTTTCATGCAATATAAAAAGATCGTTAGATTTGGGGTATTTTAAAAGGCCAGTAGTCAGTGCCGTAAAATCATTTTTCACCATTCTTTTAGAGAAGAAACACCGAGCTCTACTGATCAGATTGTATTATTAGAATGGCAGTAATTTTTCAACTATGTTCTGAAAATATCGATGTTCGTTTTATCAGAAAGGTAGTGATTTTTAATATACGCTGCGAGAATATCGACTCGTGAAAGGCTACGAAAAGAGCTTAAATTTCGAGGCAGAGTTTGTAAAAGATGATTATTAAATTTGAAGAGATTGGGGAGTTTGTGCTGCGTAGAAGAGGATGGAAACGGATTTCAAATGAAGCTGTGTGAGAAATCACTTTTGCCGTAGTCAAAATAGCGTTCGATCCTCTATATTCATCGACAATAGCTCTAGCGGCGTCACATAATTTGGCTCTCCCTCGGTCGACTGTATGAAGGGTTCTGTGATTAGTTTTAAAGTGATATTCATATAAGATCCACGATCTGCAAGAATTGACCCGGACAAACGGACTCATTAGGCTATCCTTCTTTTTCTTTAAAATAGCCATTGGCAAAGCATGGCTTTTGAACATTTCGTGGTCGGGCAGTCGCATTTTACCCCAGCTGGAGCAGCTAATACTCAAAACTTTCGCATATAAGGAACTGCCAATCCTAATGTTCTGCATGAACGATCTGTGCATTCTGATTACATCATTGCACGATGTAATGTTACCTCTGATTTCATTCTTCGTCTTTTTTTTTTTTTTTTTTTTTTTTTTTTTTTTTTTTTTTTTTTGAGAACACTCCTGAAGGCTTTCAAAGGTGTTCCGTCAAGGGTGCCCTTTTCTGCGAACTTCTTCAGCAGCAAGTCATCCCTGCCTTACAAGAACGAGAGATGACTATCTTCATGAAAGATGGTGCATCACCTCACATTGCCCGACCAGTGAAGACATTACTTCGTGCCTTTTTTGGGGATAATCGTGTAATTTCGAGAAATTTTCCGACTATCTGGTCTCCTCGTTCTCCGAACTTGAATCCCAGTGAGATCTAGCTATGGGAATTCCTCAAAGATTGTGTCTATGGAAAGCATATGGACTGTGCTTGAAGAGAAAGCAAGCATAGCACGTCTTGTTGTTACAATTCATCGGGCAACACTTTGCTACTGCTGAACACGCTTTGAACATATGATTGATGCAAATGGAATGCACATTGAACAATTACTGTGATCAAATTGTGTTTTCCATTCTTTATACATCCTCTTCTCTCGTGGTGATCGAAATTGGAAGTTATTATTTTTATTACAGATTTCTTTTCTACATGGCCAATGTAATAAGTTTCAACGAAATAGGTCAAAATGGGTTCTACGTAGGCCTAAATAGGGTGATTATAACCACCCTATACTTCTCAGTTAACAGTAATAGTTCTTACTGAAGCAATGGCAGTGAGCACACTAGCACAATGGGCCCAGTCTATTTTATTTACCTTTGTGAAATCGCCTACAATTTCAAATAAATTATAAGGTATTTGTCCCGTTTTCCTAGCGTGCATTCGTGGTGCAGTAGTTCTGCACGCTGGGCCAGTATTCCAGAGGTCCGTGGTTCGATTACCGGCGAAGGCGCTTGCTCATTTTTCATCTTGCCTGCTTCCAAAAAAATGCCTAATATCTCTACATTGGCGCCCGAACTAAAAAGGGTGTTGGGTGATGATTCTCCTCACCCAGGATTTGGCGATTGGGTCCCCTAAAAACCCCAGTCGCCCTTTAAAAGGGGTATTTCTTCAGCCTTCCTAGCGTGCCTTCGTGGTGTAGTGGT